TTTAAATGAGAAGAAATGGTACTCTTTTTATTTTGAGTTAAACGTTTTAATATGCCACTATAATGCTTTAAAAAGGCAATGAAAATATAATTGAATCTAAGTAGTGAGTAAAAAGGTGTCTCAAAAGCACCACGAAAGGAGGAGGTAGACTTTGAATGGAACGCGTTCCCGCGAGGTTTCGTTTAGTTTAGTTGAGTAAATGCCACGTCTTATTCTCAGCCACCAGCATCATCAACGTAGGCAGAAATATTGGTAGTTCTGAGCTCAGGACAGACGGTTATCAAGTGGCCGACACTCGGTGATATCTGGCACGATCTGGTAAGATTTTAATCTTTATTTTTTTCTGTTATCATGTTGCATTCAGACATGTTGCTTCTGCTGCAGCAACATGCTAGCAAGTTTAGTAACTAGCTAGCTAGCCAGCTAGCAGACTTTCCTAACAGCTAATTGAAACCTGCGGTCAGTTGTCCTCTTTGAGCGGCTTTTGCTGTTTACTTCGAGATTAAAGTTGATGCTCTCCACAGGGATTATCCACTTTCACCCACCAAACAGTGAGCAAATAAACAATCACAAGAGAAGACAAAGCTAGCTCAATCAAAGTCAGATTACCTTCACTTCATTGTATCGTCACAGCTAAAATGATACGGCTGCAAGCACACATCAGCAGATGCTGGTGCACATACATACACATGCAGCGATGTATTACAGTATTATATCAAAGCAAACCAGCTAAAAGCACAAAAAACACAAGCTACAAAGTTTGCTTTTTGATTTGAAGAGCTTCAGTCTGGAGTCACAGCAGTGGACAGTTGCAACGGCTTTATGCAAACTCTGATGAATTAAGGATAATTCGCTGTTATCTTGATCAGTTCACTGATCAATCGCCACATTTGGTGCGGATCCCATTTCTTACTGGAAATGCGTCCTAAAACGCACGGAATGACATACGTAGTCATATATTAATAGGTTAGGCTTATTAAGGCTTATTTTTTGACGTCTCAGATCTTGGCGAATAGCTCGAATCCTGCATTTAAAGAAAGTGCTCGTTTCTGCAGTAACTTGTCTGTACATGCGTAGTTTCTAATTTCCTACCTTGGATGTCACACAAACTGTTCGGGCCAAAGATTGATTCTGACTCATACTCTGTTCTTCTTGTGATTTTTAAACTCACCATGAACAGAACGTGATCCTAAAATATGGCTAGATGTTTACTGATTAAATAAAGATAACATTGAGGAGGACTATGCTCAATAACTTGTTGCACTGTCTGTACATGCGTAGACAGTGCAACAAAGAGTGACTGGGGATTTGTGCTTCAACAGGAAACCTACGTCATAACCACAAACCCCTCTGAACCCTATGCTATAACCTACAACCAAACATGCACCTAACTACACATCGGCTCTACGCAGCACACAACTGTTTTAACTGTCCTGTTGAGTACAGTCAATTCAGTAAGAGAATAACAATCATCATCTCACTATAAGGAATAGGACTAATCATAGCATCAATATAAAGACTCACAAATGTCAGCAAATTCCTGGGGAGAGACTGGTGAAACAAAAGGGAATGTATAAAGAAGTGAAAAAAGCTTAACACAAATATGTTTGCAAGAAATGATCAAAACAAAGGGTGGGCACCCAGAAGGGAAAGAAGTCCCAACATTGTATCTGGTTCTAACAAACCACCATATATAAAACATCAGGACATGACCACAAAGAAATTAACACATAATGCACCAGGCACAAGCATAAATGCCAGTAGAGTTCAGCAACTTACACAGGTTACGTCGTAGGCTCTACAAAGATGGCCTGAGACTAACTGAGAAGCTTTGAGTGTAGATGTAAACATGCCCTCTGAGTTACAGCCATAACTGTATATAAATGAGGAACATAACCATTATTGCATCACCCATTGGTCTTGGATTCTTCTTGTTAAAGGAGCAGGAAGTTACTATATTTGGAGTAGAAGGTGGTAGTTATCAGCTGATGCTAGCTTGGTTACCAAGCTGCATTTTTAAACTGCTTAATATAGATGAGACTAGTAAAGTATTACAATTTCATTGACAATTGTTCAATAAGGCAATAACAACACAAACAGAGTCATGAGGTCCAGTTCAGTGACTCAAAGTGTGGTCCACCCGTGCCTGATCAGCTGCATTTCCCTGTCTGTCAGCAGCCTTAATCTTAAGCCTGAAGAAAATTAAACTGCAGTGTTACAAACAGATTGACCCTCTGTTGTTAAGGATGTGGAAACTGTCCACAGAGGGGAATTTCATAGTTAATTTTGCATCAAACCTTTAAAGATTTCCTTAATGTCATTTGGTTGGACAGTTTAAACTTAGAGTGTGTTTCTTCACCCTCACTTTGGCTTCAGTTTTGATGCTGCTGGGTTTTTATTTATTAGATGTCTTCTTCTCCTTTCTCTACATCCCAGGGTTTTAATATGGGCTGTTTACGTCTGCTGGCATTGACATTGGCAACATCTGCAGTACTGTTGTTGGCATCCCCTTTTGCCACTGCTCACAGCCATTCCCATGGTGACCATGGACATACCCACGGCCACCATCACCACCACCACGGCCACTCACACGGCGAGGATGACCACCATGGGCACTCCCATGGCTCTCAGGTGAAGATGTTCCATGGAGCAAGCAAGTGGAGCGCTGAGGCCAACCTGCAGGAAGAGGAGCACGATCACGGCCACGATCACGGAAACGATCACGGCCACGATCACGGACACGGCCACGATCACGGCCACGATCACGGACACGATCACGGACACGATCACGGACACGATCACGGACACGGCCACTCTCATGATCACGGACACGATCACGGACATGGGCACTCTCACGATCACGGACATGATCATGCTCATCATGAGAATGTTGTTCGAGTACACAAGGAGGGAGGTGGACACGAGCACTCACACGGAGGGGAGAGGACGAAGAGGGAGGCGGGCAAAGAGAAGAGGAACATGGTGGAGCTCTGGACACAGGTGAGTGACTGCTTGTTTAGGTTCAGCAGTTGGGTTTGAAGACCAATTAATCATAGTGGCATAAACCTGTTTTTCCTGCTGATGATTTGAGTATGTTGATACAATGTTCACATCTCAGTAAAACTCTATAAAGCATGAAGACGAGAAACGTCTGTCTCCAGTAAACCACAGCTTCAAATGTCAGATTCAAAATTTTCCGTGAATAATAACAATAAATGGGTCATAGCCACAGCCTGAGGAAAACTATATTATTATACTCTTATAAGTACTTTTGTTAAATACACTTTATTTTTAGTAAAAAAAAACTGTTTAGAAAAGAATATGAAAATACACAGATTATTTAGATAATTAACAAATGTTCATTTTACCATTTATCATCGCCAGTAATCACATGTATTTAATCAGATTACATTTTGTGTGTGAAGGAGAAACATCAACCTTTTACTGCACTGTAAATTCAGTCATCACAATATGTTTACAAATCAAACAAAATATGTCATTGATTATTTTCTCTGATTATCTCCTTGATGCTTGAAAAGAAAAACGTTTGCCATTTTTCACAAAACTGTGCAACTGTTCCTAGACTGCAGGTAGGTCTGTCAGAGCGCTCTACACCTTTATTGGCATTACTTCAGATGTGTTGCATGAACAGACAAGAATGTGATAATAAAAAGCAAACTGCACTCTTTCCACAAATGGCAATCCACCGCTCCCAGCACAACATCAAAGCTCTTCAAAACATCATGCTAACCTTTGTTATACACTTTTATGATACCATCACAAAGCTGGTAGGGAGATACACAGTATGATGCTCAAGCCAAGTGTCAATCCCAACCAAGCAGCAAAGGCTTCATAAGTGAAATTGCTTTTTAAAGCCTTAGTTTGTAGTGAGAGGTCTGTTATTGCAAGCTGTTGATCATGGTTTACATTCTTTTGAAATTATTGTTGTGCAGCAAAGCAGCAGGATTCTTGAGACAAAATCTGACTCGTTATGATCTCATAACGAATTGAATTTTGGAGTTTTGCACAACTGGGTGATATCTGTATGCAACTTATTGTGTGCCTTTATCTGTATCTTCTCTAAAGAGTTTCCCTGGCTCTCGTTTGTTTCTTATTTTGAGGAACTTGAATGCGCTGTCTGTTCCCTGAATGACTCACAGCCTTGCAGTGGTGCATTGTTACTACTGAAGAACAAAGTTGGAGTTATAGTCGGCATCCAAATGGCTCCTTGGTGCTGTATCTGTCTGAGCCAGAAGCTCTTTAGT